AGTAGTAAACATCTTCCATCTAGGATGACTTACGTTGGGCGTTTCATGGAAATTGTTTTTTTATTTGTTACATTTTTAAAGTTTGCTGATTATTTTTGCAATTAAGTATAACTATAAAAGTGAATTAGTGGATCATAAGCTTCTTTTTAATTATACTAAAGTATTTCAGGCAAAAGTTTTAGTTCTAGGTTATACTTGTCGCTTACAATGTCCAAATAATAAAAAATGTATCTTTATGTCACCCGTTTCTAGATATAGTTGTAGATATATATTGTGTTATAATTCCGTGATCTTTTGGTCGCTTGTAACTCCGTCTATATTTCCAAATAGATTTTTATGCTTGTTGACTTTGTTTTCGAGTAGTTCATATTTTATTATGAGCAGGGTCAGAACACGAGGGCCCGATATGTTCAACGATGTGGGATCAACTTTACCCTAGTTTAGGGGTAAAAAATGAATTGTTCCTCAACATGGAGGTATATGGAAGACGTCTCGGATTGTCATCGCAATAAGTTATCTTAGTTTGAAGAAGCGCCATTATGTCTTTCAATATAATTGGGTATACCGAAAGATTCATAATATAATTACATTAAACCAATACAACGTACGCATTCCAAGACTCTGGTATTTTCATGTGAATAAAGTAACGTACGTTTGTAATAGGTACTTCTCAATAATGGATTGTAATATGATTGTTTGCCGTCCCAAATAAACATACAGATATGGGACGGATATAACATTGAGGTTCTATATAAAAACAACTAATAAGAAGTTGGAAATAAATATATCCATTGACTGTTATGTAAGAAACAAAAGTACTTTTTCCTATTAACAATAATCAATGTAATAATAAGTTGTACATTGATCGAAAGACTTTAAACAGTGGTAAGTGGTGAGTTAATGAAATTCAAACATCATATTGTCTATGTACTATCAATAAAAAATATTAAAATTATTCTACATTTAACCATATAATAATTATTACATAATTATCTTCAACTAAATATATATCAATTTCACGGTAACTTGAGCAAAACGATATATGACTAATTTATTAGCCGCGCGATCGAAGCGGAGGTATCGCGTCACAACTCAAACAAACACTCGACGTAAGTGAATAAATAGGTAATACGACGCTTCTTCCGATATTTCTTCCTTACCCCACTTTACCCGGGGGTAACGCGGGGTACGGCGGGGTAAAGCCGATCCATCATTACAGTGACAGGACCCGACCGATGATCATGTTTTGTGAACTCTTTCATTTATCTAATGAGTTTGTTCCACACCCCATAGAAATTGTTTGCTAGCCAGCGTTGACAAGTCTTGATGAATTAATCGATAAGTAAGAAGTTATCAAGTAATTACAGTATTAAGCTTTAAGGATACCCGAATCTAAATACATTCCAGCTTAATATTTAACTTGCGAAATTATATTGAAATCTTGAGATTATTAGCTTATTTTCATTATAATTAATCGTTTATTAGTTGTTAATTATATATTAAAGAACATAAACCTAATCAAATCGAAAATAAAATCAGATATAAAGTGTATAAAAGCCGCCTACTTACTTATGCGGCGTGCTAAGTAGATGTGTACTGCTCAGTTTAATTCAATTCTTGCGACGGTAAAAATAAAAGAGCGAATTTTAAACGAATTTCGGGGATTTAGAAGCAAAGTGCAGTCGCCTCACTCCGTCAGGTTTTATGTTGAGGCTTAACTGGATACGAAATGCGTTGTTCTTAATCCACTTAAAATAACAGCGGGGCTAATTTCTACCACGGGAACATTTCTCGTCTCACGGATTCCACATTAATTCGATCAGTTTTTGATTATTTCAGGTTTGTTTAGTTTATAAGGAATCACTTTGAACTTTTTATTGAATATTCTTTAATTTTATGTAATAGACTTTAGTAAACTAGTTGTAGTGAGTTATAAAATTATTTGATATCCCTGTAATCATAATTTGAAGTATCATAATATAAGGATATATTGTATTGATCTATTTAAAAAGAATAAATACTAGGATGCTTACTTTATAATAAAGTTCACGCTGTACTATGAAAATTAATATCGTAAATGGGGTTTGGAATTTCGTACCATTCTCAAAAAGGCGGCGCCTGAGCGATGGCTGTATCAGACTAACTTTCCAGTCCGATGTTCATTAGAACTTATACTTGTATGAATTTTCACCAACTTTCCAACGTAATGAACACTAGCTGCAAGTTTGAGCGCTTGAAATTTTAATACCCCTCACACGGACATAGATCCGGGGCTGACCTGACTCACGCTAATAAAGATTTAATTTACTATTAAATTCTTTATACCCAATAAAGTTCCTTTAAAAAATTCATTAGCAATAGCTCTGTTCATTCATATTTGATACAGATATAATCAAGCGGTATGCGTTTGGAAATGTCTTTATTAATTTAGAACTAAAACAGAATTAAAATATACATAATATTTTAAAGAATTTAATGTAAAAAATTCTCTATTTTATATTATATATATTGTTAGATAAGTCGTCGAAGACAGACATCATAATACGGTCGACAAAATCTTTAAACGCAGTGATTTCCACAACAATATGACATCGGCCGTTAAATTGAACAGATAAAGAGAAACCTGGAGTTAGAAATCCAATATCCGCTCTGTTCGTTCCAAACTTTGTCTGTTTGTCTGACACTTGAACTCACACCATTACCGCCTTTGGTTACATATAAAAGAATAAACGAGACTTTAGATTTGATATCATATGTTTAATTTCAATCCACATCAAAAATTAGTTTGTTTCTTTCACCTTAAATCCCGTTTTAATAATCACATATTACTAAAATATAAATTCTGTTAATAAACATCGAACCCGAAACCCTTTGAAGTATTAAAAGGGGTCGACAAGTAAGCAATATTGTAACTTTTGGATTAAATTCCATAGACAGGACACGCAATAGGAAAATAGTTCGCGTTACATTCAACAGTTCGGTCCTTGTGAAAAATCTGGATTGGTTTTTGTAAAATATACGATTTAAGAACCAACAGCCGCCCCAGTATTATAATAGTTTTCAATTTCAAGCTTAACCTCCGTACCATATATTACGAGTGATTTGATAATACTTAAATAACATTGAAACGAAATATATTAAAGTGCCCACTACGAAGTTCATATAATGGATTCATTGAAATCATATTAACGTTACTCTAGAAATAAAATTAAAATTTAAGTACAAAATATACAATGAAAAAGTGTACGACACTAGTTGAGCCTGCAAGCCTTTTAAAAGAAACATTAGCATAGTAGCAGGGTTGAGACCAAATTTTGTCTATGAATTTCCCATTCTACACATTTTACTTAAATTTCAAGTCATTCTTTAAATTTTGAAAGAAAACCTAGCTCATGTTGGAAAGGAGTTGTTATGTAAAGGAGAAATAAATCCTTAGGTGTAATTTTATCTTCAAACTACATATTTGGAAGCAACAAAATAGTCTTAAAAGTTAACAAAATTACTTTTATTTGTAATTATTATGTTGACACACTTTTTAAGCTATATTTAATAAATTTATAAAGATCCATTTATGAGTTTCGGAGCTATTTTGCTATTTTTAGATTGAATTTAGTGCAGAATATCTCAAAATCCCAATTATTGGACTTAACTAATACTTCAGACATTTAATACTTCGTACCCCGAGCCGTGTAATACGTAACATTTTTAAGGTAAGTGAATAATATAAATGTCAGTGACTGGTAAGCACCCGCATCGTGTTATCTATAAGTACGGATCGATATTGTTATCACCACTCCAAACTTTAGTTATGAAACTTGTGAACCTTTATTACTACAAACGGTAAACAACATATATTGAATACATTTTAATTTTTATTTGGTTGCAATCAGACGAATTTTTATAAATTTTTTGATCAACGATACAAGTTTAAACTAAATTTAATAGACTTTCATGAAATAATAAATGTGTTTCCCTATTTTTTTATAGCAATGAAAAATGAGACTATTATTTTAAAATGCATATAGATACATATAAGTACAACATTTCTGTTAATTATCTAAAAATTCTTGAAACTTTTTTATAAGGAAACGAAACAAACGTTTTTCAACATTTTCAATAATTAATAGCTTGTATCACCGACGGAAAGCCGTCTTTTTATTTGTCACATAAAATTTTTTCCGCTAATTTAAATTAATATTATAATAATACTAAGAAAAGAAAGTATCGTTGAAATATCTTTATAACTCCGCTTTGTTCTGTTCTGTACTTTCGTCAAATTACTTTTTTTATTGCTGATAAGTTTTAAGTGAAAATTGTCCTTTTTAGCTATTTCTATTCGGATTTTTTCTTGATTTTAACCGATATTTTTTGTTTCGATATTAAAAGCAACCGTTAATATGTTAATCTTCATTTTAATATTTCCTAAATATAATAATATATTTCATTAATATACTAAATTTCTTTATTTACTATGTAAAGAGAAATAGAAGTTGAAAAGAAAATTTAAAAGTTTCGAGCCGAAGACTAAAAGAAAGTGCAAAGAAATATGCTTTTTAGAATTTTTACAAGTAGTTTATAAAATAACGACGAGGGTGTTCCCGACTCCTGCAAAGCCTTGCAACCTGTTGCCGTCGGCACGCCTTCCGCCCATCGCTAGCAACCTTTTTCACGTGAACGTTGAAGTTTACGAGAATCAAAGTGAGGAAAAGTTCAACCCGTAGACTCGAAGATACTCACCGGTCTTACTGAAACTTATCGTATGCCTTACCTTTAGATGTTTCACGTTCTGACCATCGGCAGGGACGGCAAAAGTTTGTTCACAAAATTAAAATATAATAAACTCAAAGGATATTAATTTTCTTTTTAGAAAATAAATTATAAAATAGGAAATCATCACTACGAAAATTATAAAGGACCAGCAAATCATATAAATGACAAAAAAAAAACGAACGAAAGATTTAAAAAGTCGACTTGAGCGCGGCGGCTGAGTTATCGCGGTACTAGGATAGCAGATGTTCAGAGGAGTTTGCAGAAGACGCGTCACCGCCGCCGCGGCTGACTACAGAGTGGTAGCGGGCTGTACGGCCTCGGGCCCCACCCCTGGCGCAGGCGCGCTCAGCGACCAGCACGGCGCATGACCAACATCCTACCGAAAAGTGGAAAAGTGACTCCTACAACGTAGATATACCATTATGTAGTAAATAAATATTGTATCATAATAGATGCCAAGCTTGAGTACATAATTTTGACCCAATTTATCATTTTTACGTTCGATTCGCTTGTGAGAAACTTGGATATTCATGACCACTACGTAGCAGGATAGGATGGGTCTTCATTACGAAATCCCTGATCAGGATTTACTATTAAAAAGAAATCATATATGCAACAAAATTGTATTTCATTAGAATTTTAATTTTTCCATATGATTTTCAGCCACGAGCAAGTTGTATATCTCTCTTATTCCGCTGAAATATCCAGTTCTTAGAGACACATCGTAACCTTTAGGCAACGATTGAAATTTGGACATTATATAATTATCTGTTTCGGGAAAAATACGCATTTCGAACGAGCTATGTATATCCATTTTATTGTACGCGTAATCGACACTATGACCACAATGGGGCTGCCCATTCATTTCGTAAATACTCTGACTGACAAACCATTGTATGCCACCAGCGCGTTGATTCACCTTCTTAGCGATCTCATCTGCTTTCGTCTTCGTCTTTTGCATATTATCCAAAGTAACGTTTCTTGAAGCAAATGGATAAAGAATAGCGTGGCCATTACGTCTGAAGGAAATATAAGTTTTTATACCATTTTTATACTTCTTCATAACATTTGTTATAAATTTAGTTTCATTCTCAGAGTTTGGATGAGGTCCTGGGTAATTCTGGGAAAATTTATTTTCAACGCGGAAACATTCAGTAAAAAAGTCGTCGAAATTCCTTGTAATATCAACACCAGTGGCTTCATAATCCATTATAGAGCGATAGTTCTTCTGCCATCTTTCAAAACTCTGTAGAATACAGAAGAATATATATTAAAGTTTCTCAACGTTCAGCGTTACTTCCAGTAAAGTCCTACAAAATGGCTGAAGCCACTATTTATAGTTTTCAAATACATGTTGATATTTAAATGTTGCCATTACAAAATAACAATTGTTAAGTATTATAATTAATTATAAACAGCGATAAAAATAATTCTTAGGCTATAATAGTATATTATAATTAGTATAGCACAGATGGCGCTACTTGTAACACTTTTTTTTTAACTTACCCCTCTAGAATATTCTTGGCCGTCGGGATTGGTTGACGGCAGAATGATCCATAAGAAGTTCCTTATCATATCCTTGTTTTCTACACACGCGGCCAGCTGTTCTATAATGTAAAGAGCAAACCCGACTGTCTCTGAACCAGCGTCTTGACCAGCGTCGAGTAATATCACTGGTTTTATTTGACTACCGTTACTGACTTTCTCAATTTCCTCATTAACGTACCGACTCATGGCTACCTATATCAGTAGAATAATGTTTAATTGATACAATGATTGAATATTCTGCTTATATGTATAGGTAAAATATTTCATAGAAATTAATGCAAGATTATTGTTCAAGGAATGCACATTGCTGTATTTTTTTCATCATTCGAGATCGTAATGTAATGTGAAAAATAATTAAAACGTGTTATATTCATAGTTTTCTCACCTCATATAATACTTTTCCTTCATAAGTTGTTGCAGTATCGTATAATTTAATAAACTTGTCGCAATATGTACTGATGGCTTTAAGAAATATTGTAACCTAAAAAAAACTACAAATTAAGCTTAAAATGTAATTTTAAAGGACCTACAAAAGTGAAAAATATAAATACTAAGAAAATTAAATTCCATAGAAGAAAATTATAAATACTACTTAAGTAATTTAAAATTTAGATTTGATTTTTTTATATTTTACCAAAATAATTTTAACTTGTTGTTATGATAGAATAAAGTAATCTGTAATTTTTTTTTTAATTTCACGCTTGATTTTTGTTTGATAATTATATGTGGCTATAGTGCACTAGTATATAGCACTATAGCCGAATACGGCTTGGGTGTATATATAATTATATTTGATATGTAATCATAATATTTAATTTGTTACTGAAGTACACACAAAAACAGTCATAAATGACTTTAAATTGTGACAAATTGACAAAAATTGTTTGCTGGGAATATATCATTAAAAATTATGAATAATACATAATTGGTTTGTACAAAAATATGTGAATTATAAATGGCATAAGAGAGTAATTGTTATATTTATATTAATTATGTCTCAATCAATTTAAACATTTGTATCGTTTTTATCGCAATATGAAAACAAAACCATTACTATTTTCCACTCACAGTACTCGCACCAATAGCTACATTTTCAACACAAGCGTCTTCGTCCTCTCCTAACAATTCATCCAGCATCCTCTTATAGCAGGGTCTAACAGTTTTGCATCTGAAAAAACTAATCTTTTAATATTTTCAATATAAAGCTATGTTAATGTAATATATATTTAGTAGTTGTTGTATAAAATAGTTCGCCTATGTAAGAAAACTATTGATTGATGTAGTTCACTTTCGTAATTGATTGTTGTATTCTTCTTGAAATGTTTACCTTTCAGAAGTAGGAGTAAAAGGTGGGAAATAGCTTGTAATTTTTATGTTACTATATATATATAATAGAATATTTACTTACCCACAATAATCTGCACGTTCCTCACAGATAAATACTAAAATAAAACAAATTTTAATTTAAAATACAGAAAGAATTCGTGAAATTCGTGATTTAGAAACATATTTATAGATTTTGTTTCTTTTAACTATATGCTGAAACTGTAATTGAATGTCTTATACCCTATGTATAAATTATAATCACGTAATTTATAGATAGATCTAACTAAAAGTCTCAACGGGATAGTAAAACGTTTAATTGTAACAAGTTATTTTAAATTCCCTATTAAATAATTTAGGTTAAAAGAATTAGTAATTATATGATGCAATACATCTTTTAAGTACCATTTCAGAAGGAGCCATTTGTAGGTACAACAATGACATTCGTCAAATAATTTGCTTCCTATAGTTTAATTACACGAAAATAAAAGTAATAACCAATAGTTAGATCTTATGTACACTTCCGAAATATTTAATATAGTTTATACATTTCATTATCATGCAACTATGCCACTCACATTTTTATTACTTTAAACGTAACGTACCTGTTAACACAATAAATATAAAGCCTATTATACACTGTTGAGACATTACTAGATTTGAAATTTTTAATTATACAATCTATTCTACATTCCGGCCATCAGAACAAATGTACTGCTAAAATTATAATATCTAAAAATATAAAATTGAACTTAAATCCACACAAGCACACAAATGTATACGCTACTATATTTCATTTTATTAAATCCACTTGCTCAATATTTTTTCCTATAAAACTGCACGGATTTTTTATATTTATTGCTTACACTCGATTATATAAAAATGTTAGAATCTTTATTAAAATGTTGCACTGAGATTATTTATAAGTAGTGCTTATGAAGTTAAAACCATTAAGAATCATAGTTGATTTAATTTATAATATAATAATCCATTCAAAGTTCATTTTATTTATTACATAATCCTCATATCCAATGTTTATTCACATAGAAAATTAAATGCACGTATATCTGAATATCTTTGAAATATCTGTCATATATTGAATGTGCAATATTCAGTCGTTATAAGGACCTCGAGATATAGAAAAGCGTAACATTTTTGTTGGCTCATGCAATATTTAATATATTGAAGGAAACAGATTCGCAAATAAAATATTTTCTTATTATTGCTAATATTTTCTTTTCAATAATACTCTAGTTTCAAATATGGTTTATACATTGCTTTAGAAAATAAAAGATATGGTTATTTGTACCTTAATTTATTATAATATATTAAATTAGATTAATTCTATCAGTTGTTAATTTCGATGACTTCAGGTAAATATCTCCTGTTTGAACATAACTCTTTAAATTCGCTTCTAATTTGGACTGCAAATACTTTAAAACCCTCGTAGTATTGTGGCAACACATTTTTAAGGAGCCTCTCAGGGTATATGAATTCGTAACCGTCAGTTAGCTCCATTGTGTATGAGTATGGGACTCCTACCGCACCAAACGCGTAATCATCGCTACCACCGGCAGCTGGGTACCATTTCCCAGCACTCAAAACCTTGAAAGGCTGTCCACCAGCTCTTTGAACAGCATCTGAGACCGCCCTAGCCAAAGTATCCAATCTTTTCCATTCCTTTGGCAAATAATCTCCCGTATATCCCCACGGATATACCAAGTATTGGCCATATGAGTGCAAAGATACGTATAACTTTATCCGTTTACTATTTTCCATCATCACGTTCCTGACGTATTGGGTCTCCACTTCTGAGAAAGGTTTCGGACCGGCGTAAGTCTCTTTGTCACAAGGATTCTTGGACACACCACTGACTGCCCACTTAAAACCGTAATTGCGGTTACCGTCTACCCCAAAACAGTCATAAACAGAATTCTTTGATCTGGTCTTCCTCCATAGACGATTCTGTAGAATTTTAGTATATAATTAATTTAAATTTTATCCAATTTGATCAATGAATAAATCAATTAACACTTGTTCACTTTAAACTAAATACAATCCAAAAATAGTACTTCAATATGATTTTCATATTAAAATTACGAGCGAAAAAAATAAATTTTTAAAGGATTATTATAAATAAAAATGCCTCATATATGTTTTATTTTTACCTAATTAAGACATGTGAATAAGTAGTATATAATAATATACCATATATTATTAATTATTTTGCGTTTTTGTATTTCAAGCGTGAAGAAGAGAAAAATTTTAATATTCGAGCAAATTATGTTCTTATCGCTTAAGATTACGTATGAGCGTTCGGATTACATGTACTCAACTCTTTTATAAATTTGGTATTATTTTTGACCGATTTTGCTAATAGTTTTAGCAATATATTTTAAATAAATTCTTAATAGCAAAACAAAATTGTTATGTACATACTTGTACCCCAAATCCTATGTCTTTTTCTAATGCCGCAGATAGGTTTAAAATTTTTAAATCTCTCCTCTTCTTCTTCTTGGAAATTTCCCAGCTTTAGCCAGGGTCTAACAACTTATATCTACCTGCTTATAACGATTTTAATTTACTCTCATAGATACTAATAAAGCTGCATGATAAATCAATAATGTGTAACAAATTAAATAATATTTTTTTCTTACTAAGAATGTGTATCCTAGTCATACGTACTTTCTAAAAGAATATTTAGATACCACTGACAGACGATGAATTAAAACATCGTGAGGAAACCTGGACTTATATTTTCACACTTATAAGTTTAAAATCACCAACCCGTATTGAGCAAGCGTGGTGATTAATGTTCACATTTTCGCCATGTGAGAAGAGGCCTTTGCTCAGCAGTGGGCTCTGATAGACTAATAATGATGATGAAGAACGTGTTCATGATTATATAAAGTCATGTCAGTCGAACATACCGCTCTATTGCTCCTCGTGTATTCGTATCCATCGGGATTAACAACTGGAAGGATGTACCAGTCGACTCCTTCAAGCTCCTTCCTGGCGTCAGGATCATTAACTAGTCTGTGGATGAGGTATAACGCCATGGCTGGTGCCGCCCATTCCCTCGCATGGATACCTGATAATACAAAAATCTTCTTAATCGACCGCTCTGGTTACTTAGGACCGTTTTCGTAATCCTCTTTCAATGTAAACTATCTTATTTAAAAATATAATTTATGAATAAGCATATAAATTAACTAAAGTAATTATAGATATATTTGTTTTCTATTGTCTGTTTCAGCATTTGTGATTTGTCTGTGTTTCTTCAATTTAGTGTTTATTCTGTTAAAAGCAAATTTTATTCACGAATCGCGAATAGTTCGAATTTAAGAAACATTAAAACCTTTAACATATATAGTTAGAGATAATACTGACCAGCATCTATAAATATGATCGGGTTGCAAGCACTGGGATCTAGCGATATTTTAACAAGTTTCATCCGCCTGCCTTGGTAACTTGTTCCTAAATTCTGCAATCTCACCAGGTCCGGATGGCGTTTTGCCGTACTTTCTATAAATTCTATAATCTGTGAAATCGTATAAATTTAAGTGTATTATACCTTAACATAGTAACATAGAAATTTCGTAATAATGAAAATAAAAGGGAAACTAACCGCGTTATAGCTGTGATACTCGAATATGCTGAAGCCTCTCATAAATCTCCTTTTAGGCGTCCTGTCCGAAGTTTCGAATGTCCTACAAGATTAAAAGAAAATATAAAATATGCATGTTTTAAATAAATTGATAGATATAAAATTTCAAGTCCTTAAATTATATTTTGAGCAGCAAATCATTCAAAGTATAGCAGACCTTCCATAGTTGCTCTTTATTTCATAAACAATGTCTTCCTTATTTATAAAATCTTCAACGAATTTCAATTCGCTTGGAGGTACCAGAACGTCGGTGCTATCGTTAAAACTTCTTGATTTCTTTAAAATCTCAATACCTTCACTCGGTTTTTCTAAAATATTAAGTGCTTCTATTTGTTCAGTCCTTGACGGGAACAGCTTAACTAGTGTGTAACTAAAAATATAATTTAAATATTCAAAGGCAATATTTAAAAATATTGATATTCACGAATATTATTTATATATACACATAATATTAAATAGATATAGTAACATACTCATCATATTTATTCTCCCTGCACCCCACTTGCCAAACGCCCACCAACCCTGAAATAAGAATAGATTTTTATAACAAAGATCCCACATCGCACATTACGAAATAAATCTCCAATTAGTGTACATTAGAAGCTTAAAATAAATACCCTATAAAAATAATAACATTTTATATATTTAACAACATTTATTTGTGAATTGAGTTATGTTTATGACCAAAGTCTGTTATATGATAATTTGAAAAAGATGAATAAGGTTTCCTTTCAATAAATCTTGGAAATACAGCGAATTGTATTAAATTATGTAACATTTGCGTTCCTTATAGGACTTTATAGATTTGAAATATTTCCATATGAACTAAATACTTTAACGACAAAGTATAGAAAAATATCAATGAACATACGAAAATAAATGAAGTAAATCTGTTAAATCCCTCTAATGGGCCGCGGAATCGAAGGTTGCTAAACCCACCATTAAGAGGCGGGAAAGGAATGCTTCCTACTTAAATTTCTAAAGCAGTATTTGCGTGGAACGATTCTTTAATTTGTGGTGACATTTATCGTGTTTCTTTGGCTTCGTGTAATTGAGCTTTCCTTACAACGGCGGAGTAGATCTGGCTTCTTCCGTGGACCAATTCCAAAGCAATTGATGTTATTAGAAAGTCTCTTTGATCGCCCGAATCCCCGATAATTTTAATTTAATAAAAGCGGGAATTTTTCGATTGAAATTAACTGCACCGCTCTAAGGAACGAAGCCAAGCCGGTCCTTTGATTGAATATTACTATATAATTTGATATCAGTTTTGTTTGGAGAAATTTTATATTAAATTCTTGATCATCTGTAACATTTATATTTCATAGATTTATTCCCTTTTTATATTACGTTCTGTAATTGATGAGATTACTCTCTTTTTAATATAAATGAATTAAACATATTGAAGGCACGAATAAAGAAAAAACAGGGAACAAAATTAAATGTTTCAGTTCAATATATAATGACATAATGAGTTTTTTTTATCTCATATTATACTTCACACTAAATTCTCTTGTTTGTATGATATATAAATAATAAATGTTACATTATCATTTCTATATTCCTATTAAAACTATAGACATCTCTTTTGTCTATATTTGTCACAAAATCACTGAAAATCTGCTAAACCGATTAAAAAGTAATGTTGTATTTAGGTTACCATTACGGGAAAATTAAAAATAGATTACTCTCATCCCATTATATTTTCAAAATGAAAGTTATTATAACAAAATTCAAATAATTTTGACAAATGTTCTTATATGTATAATTAAAGCGAACGCAATATGTGACATTTATTATGGAAGAAATTGCAGGAAATCATTAAATACTCCAACCTGATGTATTTAAAATAACAGCAAAACAACCAAAGATAAGATTATCAGTAAAAAAATGCAAATATAACGATCATTACTTTTTTTTATTTCAACATACAAAACGAATAAAACCTCTTAAGAATGCCTGTCTATATTTAATCATTTATGATTTAAACATGTTCTCAGATCAGATCAATTTACCTGCTTTTAGTTTCTTTGTAATAAAATTTCCACTAATATTAATTTAATATGCTTTAACAATATACCCCAAATATTAAAATTTAGGGTAATGACAGCGCTAATAGGAATTATTTAATATTTATGCGTAGATATATTTCTATATTTTAAAAGTTTATATTACAAAGTTCTTTTAGGAAAACCATTTGAATTTTCCTTTTCATTTGAATTATCTTATTTTCCCGAAGAAATTTGTTTAATTAGCATTCAAAAGTAGCTATACTTCGCCGACTCGAAACTCCCTACTAGCACTGTATCAGAGAAAGTGCTTTATTTATGTGACCAGTGAAAAGTTGTTATTTGAGAAGGAAGAATTTATAAACCTTTCTCATCACGAACACATTCACATATCCCGATACACCACTTTTATCCTAATTATAATCAAACAAGAAAAAATATATATTTTTTAATTATAAAAACTGAAAATATAATAAATACTTACCAAATAATAGCACTATCCGAGTGTACATGATCACAATTTTATTTGATTTTAAATATATTTATATTAGATATAACGTATTTGTATATAAGCGGCGCAGGCGCAGTCGTGCGCTCCTTTCTCCGTACCACAGCGCACTGTTCGCGCCGATATTTAGCGAAGATATCCCAAACTGCTCAAACGAAAACCAAAAACAAGAAGGGCTTGCTTGAGGTCTTTACCCTTGCGGATAATATCCTAACGCACATAACATATATCTATAACATCAAAGAATTATGATTTATTTAATTTTATACACACACAGTTTATGTTTCAATTATATTTACAAGGCATGGGCAAATTAATTCGTTACAATGCCATAATTCACTCGTTTTTTATTTAGATAAGCCTCACCATATACTGTATACATGATTTGAAAGAGATTGAGCTTTATACTGTAAAATTTCCTTTGTTACAAATGATTCATGGTTTTCAATTCAAATTAATGATTTATAAGTATCGTACATTACAAGAACTTGGAGTGTACATATAAATGACTTGTAATAAATCTTGTTTAGATATTGACAACGAAACTAGAAGAGCGACCACACGTTACACGGGTTTAATGAACTAGTGACACTGATTGAATTACGGTGTAGCGAGATTCTTTACAACTTATATACAATATTTATATATCAAACTAATTAAATCATGGCAGATATTATTAATTTTAATTACTTAAAACAGTCTTATTACTACAGATAAAATCAACAAGACAATTCGAAACAAAGCGAGATCGGTAGATTTGATTTGGTATAAAATGTAATAAAGTTGAATGGGAACAATATATAGTATATAAAATTAATTTTAATATAAAATTATATATAATTTGTGATTTGCGAATCAAACAGGTTCACGGAACCCAACTAACGGTCGGTTATTGTTGGTGCGAGAATAAGAATAGAGGGCAGTTGCCGTACGGCATCATTACATTGGTTATGCGTTCATTTAAATGGAATTAGCTTCCAAAACGAGTTTGAAATCATTTGTCCTTTTTGTTTTGTAACTGGATTTCTTTCTGTGTTGACGTCTTTGTGTTACATCCACACTTTATTTCTTTTTCCACTAGCAACACTACGTACCAATAAACACGAAATCTGTATCGCAATACCAATGATATGTAAAACGGAATAGTTAATAATTTCGTCCTAGATTCGTATGCTACAAGGATAGTAACGGGATTTACCAAAATTAACGACATCAAAACGTACATTCACTTTCTTTTCCCCAAACTTCTTTTGTATGCGCGATATACAAACAACAACAAAATTGACCCACTTCATTACAAACGATTATATTAAAGAGTTATATTTTTATTTACATTACGGTTTATACAAATTACGATTGAAGTAGTACATATTGGTAGCACGCAATGTATTCTGTAAATCGATTAGAAATCGATTACCGCAGTTACTAATGGTTGCGGTGCTTAACCAAAACCCGCAGTGGGTGAAAGTGGTGCTATATGTGGAAAATGTTTAGTTTATTTGTTAATACTTTGGGTTAAAACTAAATAAAATGTAATATTTCAAATATTTATTCATCATTTTACATCATTTCCATGTATAGATTTCCATATATATGATATTATGACGTCAATGACCTTTGACCAAACGTCTTTTAAAGCAAGAGATGAGTAGTCTTCATCATCATAATAAAACACCTGTTCATCATACGGCTGCATCACTAATTCCATGGCATAAGGTATGCCATAAACCTTAAAGAATAACACATTGTTTAAAAAACCGGTATAATGATTATTGAGATAATTAAAATACCAAATGGTAGATTGAGGTTTTTGACAGGCGGATAAAAACATAAAATGTCTTAAATAAAATACGATTATTCAGAGTTTTTAACTATATTTAAAGTTTTAAAGATATTATTTTTTATATATTTTTCGTTAATTTCGGCAATATATATATGTATAGCTCACCTTAGTAATATTGTTATAGCTAACCGGTACAACTCTATTCCGCCCTAGAGGTTTTTAATAACACAATGTTGCAATTTACTATATTTTTTCAAACAGAATTAAATATCTTATGTCCGTCTCATGGTTCTAATTCTATTTTTTATTTTTTTACTTATAAATAGTTTAACTTACACAACTTTCTTTTATATATGAAATGACAAACAGACGAAGTGGTGTATTCGATTTGAACCTTCAAGAGTCACTTAGATTGAGTATGTAACTTATAACATACTAGCTTTCCGCCCGCAGCTTCGCCCGCGTGGAGTTCGGTTATACCACGTTTCCAACAGAACCTTCCAAAAGTCTGGGATAAAACTATCCTATGTTCTTTTTCAAGGTCAACTCTATCTCTGTACCAAATTTCATTAAAGTCAGTTCAGTGGTTTAGACGTGAAAACGTAACAGACAGACAGACAGAATTACTTTCGCATTTATAATATTAGTAGGGATGTATATTTTACAAACCGTTGATGCGTAGTCCACGCTGGAACCTTTGACCAGTCCGTACCAATTGTATAAAGTATCAACAGTGACAGAATATACTTGGAAGCTTGCATTCCTAATAACTTCATCTATCTCTCCTTTCAAATCAATATATTTATCATCATCTATCGCTGTGTCGCTGTAACCTTTTGGATAGAGTACAGCATCGCCCTGTAAATAAAACAAAACAATTTTATTTATATAAAATGACAAATATGACACAGTATAGAAATGGTATCAACACTTAATTGTTGAATACAAATATTAATTTGAAATTTTGTAGAACATTAAATGTTTCTGATATTTTTTCCCAGTTCATAAAAAGCGTACGATGTAAAATATTACGTGTTTGCTAAATTAAGGTGAGTTTTATTGCAATGTAATTAAATCGTAAAAAGCAAGAGCTATGAACGCATATAACATGAAAACAAAGATTTTAATTTCTGAACAAGCTTTTTTTTAATTAAACTAAATGGTTAAATTCGTTAAAAATTCCAATATTAAATGATTTAAATATTTAATTTACATGTATTCTATTTCATACCCTGAAAACCGAACTATGATATGAGCCAGCATGCACGTTAAAGAAAGCTACAATTTTATGGCCATATTTATGGAATATGTCTCTCACAGCCCTCGTCTCTGCCTCTGAGAAGGGCACCTCGCCAGGGTACTCCTGGCTGCAAGAACTGATTGAGCGGTTTAAACTCCAAGCAACATCGAAGTTCCTATCCAAAGCTACTCCGGGACATTCTGCTTGTGGCGCCACGTTTTTATCCCAAAACTAAGAAATGTTTGAATATTAACATAAAAATGAAATAAAAATTTGATTATGTGTAATATTTTTTCATATTGATTTCTCGATTGTCAAATAAAGAAATCGATACGTTGTAAAAATAACGTTTAACTAACACCAGTTTGTTCAGGAGTCTTAAGAAAGAAGGAAGGTAGAGAATAGATGAAGAAGAGTTGACTCTCTTTTAGTAAAAGTAATGTTCACTAGTGTATGACACGAATTTGATAAAAATATACAGTTTGGAGATTTTGATCACACCTTTAACTACCAATTAAGGGATTTATAAAAATAAATTCTTAAATCTTCTAGATAAAACTCTGTCTAATGGTCAAATGTACAAAAAAATCCGATCAATACCTTACATTTTCAGCGTAAACACGTATAGTGCTCAGATCCTAACAATTTTAATATTAAAACCAACTTTGGAAGTCTGCCAAAGGCAATAAGAACAAAAAAATATTACACACAAACAAGCCTATACTTAATTATGCATAAGTTAATACATGAATTGGACAATTCTAAAATTACCTCATTGTATGACGATCGTATATAGGTATAGCCGTCTGGATTTGCCATCGGTATTAAAAATATGTTAAATTTATCTAAATGCGATGTGTAATATGACAGTAGTATTCTGAAAGATCCCGTTGTAGATAAACAAGGTATATCTGTCATTCCCATAACTTTAAGACCGTGGACTATAAATATAATCTTCTTCTCCGGCACTTCCTCAGCATATTTCTGATCATCTGCCCTAAAATATGTATGACCAGTGTTTTCTGATATCCTAAGCATCAATATATCTTGGTATTCCAGAGTTCTACCAATGACTTCGATTGTTATATTCGCGTTAGGTATTTCTTGAGCTAAACTTGTCAGTTGTTGCTTCAACTGAAAAATCAATAATATTAGATAAATATAAATATGTGAATATATAATTATTGTTTTTTGTACTAACACTGTATGAGCTAAATCTTCGAGAAACATAATTGTCGTCTAAAGGTATCGGTGGACTTCTAAAACAAAAATTATTTTTTTTACACGTGTAATCTATATATGTAGTGATTGATGTTTAATGCACGACAGCACCGCTTACGTTGGGTCGCTATAATCTTGAAACATATCCATTTTGGTCACTCGTGGTATACTAAAATAGGTAAATTATATCAATAATGAGATCTAGGACTCTCGCGAGTGGATTCATTTAAATGAAACTAATATTTCTGGGACTAAAACGGAGGAATGTATTTTTTACAGGAAATAAAGCACCCGTAGTATATCCGAATAATATTAGTTTCATTTGAATTATTTCAATGATAATAATTTTATATAATATAGTAACCAATAATGTATAATAAAACAGATTAGATCTATATTTATAATTGATGAATTAGAACTACCGGCATATTATTTGATATAAAACTACAAAATACACTACACTACAAAATCTATAATGTGAATGATGACATGAAATATTCCATAAATAACTAAATTAGAATGTTTTAAACTTCAACTTATTTATAAAACTGACTGTTGTAAATTTCCTTGTCGCAGTGCATACGGATATTTGGTAGTGCCCTGATGTTTCCTGCACAAAAACTGCTGTTAAAAATATAATTCCCATAACATAAAGTAGGAGACACAATTGTGTTAATTAAATTCAACTTACTTATCTCTCAGTTTTATTAAATTTTGACGAGCACTCATCTTGTCATCCTTTATAATTAATTTTTTCATCTTGTCGCTGTTGAAAGATGACAAAAATAATTACTACACACAAAACATTTAAAGGTCACGTTTTTTTACTAAACCTACCTGTATTTCGTATTCTTTGAAGTTTGACCTAACGTAACCAAATTTAATAAGACAAAAATAAAAAATATTCAAAAAAACATCCATTATAAAGTCACCTGCAGATTGACTCATTTCTAGTTCAATCATACATAATAATATTACAACAAATATATCTTTCAAAATCATTGTATAACAAATATTTTCCACTTGTAACGAAAACATTAATGTCGAATCAAATCGATTTTGTTTTTTATGGATATTGAATTTATAGCGTGGCGACTTGATAACAATATGTATTATTTATTATAACACAAAAAAATATATTAATTGATGTTCTTTTATTTAGATCTTGTATCTAAATTATAATATTGTTTTTCATATTTTTCGCATTTCTGTAAGAAACGTGTATGAGTTGGAAATTGGTATAGCCTACGTCTTACATGATGTATAAGAATAATTTAATTTTACATGTTATATCGTCTCTAAAAGCATTATTTATAAATTATAAGTAAATGAAAAACAGAAATGTCCTATGAAAACATAATTACAATAAATTTACTTTAAAACAATTTAATAGTTTGTAGGTGTATGGAAAAATGAGAAAGATGCGTACATCAATTTTGATGTAAGTATTTAATATTATCAGTAGTAAATATATTATAAAAGACAGACAACCAAATAAAAAAAAAAGTAATTACTTATTTGATTTATATAGATGAATATATGTAACACATTAATTCTAAATATTGTTTTTAATTATCGAAACTTCTTGTATTTAAATAGTTCTTAACTACATATAAATAAAGTCCAAGTTGCCTGATCTGAGCCGTCTTAAATCTTGACCGAGAGGACGTTAAAATTTCACGATGCCCTTAAAAGTGTTGTTTTACTGGTCATAACTGTAACTCGTACGTCTAAAAGAAACAATTTTTCAAAATGGCGTACCATCATTATTCATTTAATTCATTAAGTTCGCTAGCAATACTTAAACAACATTTGTAAGAAATTTAATAAGATATATCAATTTAATTCTCAATTTAACAGCGACAGCTGTAACTTTAAAATGTATTACAGTTTTTTATATGTATGTATATTTAAACAGTAAAATGTTGGAAATCACCAAAATTTACATTCTATTTTCATTAATTCGCTCGATCCCATAACTTAGGACACGTGTAGAGAACTCGTAAATGTACATTAAGATTAACACCTACACAAAAAAACTGTTAGGCCTGCTCCAATGTTCATCTAAAGATTGATTGTAAATCGCCCTTTAGCCTTTCAAAACGATCTATTAAACCAAAGTAAACTCCTTTTGTTACTTCATGAAATATAATATTTTATCGCTCTAATAAAAGTTGTAGTTATTCCTTTGTAAATTTCGTTGAATAATCTTATTTAGCGATGTTCCTTTCTTAGAATTTTAACTAGGGCTTAATAATAAGCTTATTTGTAAATTGACACTTTAAATCCTTGCTTTGTAGGTATTAATGATTAGTTTAAAGTTTGGTATTCAAAATTAAATATATGTATGATGATTAAAGGAACATCTAAAGTATAGTACATGTTTCTATAGATAGATTGTGAGTAATACGAAGAAGTAAATGTTGTCAGCGTAAGATCAAGTCACATAACGAGTTAACATTGTTCTTTCAATTTAGAACCGAAAGGCAAGAATGTAAGGAAATTGAAAACAAAAGTGACGGCAACATTGTATTTTTTTACACATTGATTTACAACGCGTTAAACCTTACAAATACGTAACAGTCACGAAACACTACCCTTCTATTGACTGAGAACGTTGAATAAAGGGAAATGGCTTTATACAACCATTTTGAAATTTAGTTTCAAGCTGAAACAATGACGGCTTGACATCTTACAAAAACTTTCCGCCATATTGTTGTCCAAGGTAATACCAATATTAGAAATATAAAATTTTATACTTTGTTCTGATGGTTAATTAAATTAACCATTGTTACAAAAATTAAAACAAATTTGAATGAAATTGCTCATTTACATACAGCTTATTCATCAGTTTTGTGCTTTTTAAATTTACATTTTAACAAATGTCAATTTAAATGCAAACTCATTCGGTATTTATGGAGACACCTCAAAGATATATTTAAATGAATTAAAGCAGTGAGCCATGAATTGAGAAAATCAATAAAAAAAAACAGAAAAATGCACGTTGTTTAATATTTACAAAACACTTGTCCAAATAAATGATATCGTTAAGTCAAACGATCTATTTAATAAAGGGGACAGACACTTCCCCGTTCATAAAACACTAGATAAGGGCGTCGACAAAAATTATTATCATGGAACTGCAGCTAACAGCGACTCTAGCATCAAATATAACACAATAACGCATTTAACACTATTCCTTGGTTAACCGAGTATTTTCTTTTGTTAGGAAAACAATTTAGTAGTTTCAATGACTATAAATGTCCTGACGCTTTCTATTTTTATTCAATAATAATACGTGTTCCGTGTGAGTACTGAGTTCAACTTATTACTGAATTAAATTATTACAATATTTTTAGTTCGACAAAGTCCTAAATATTTGACTTCAATTAATTTCGATTTCGATTTCACTTCTGTCTTTTTTTTTTGAAAATTTCTTTTTGACAGTAATTTTTTTTAAACTATGCATTTTGAAATATATAGTTTAATCTGCTTACCATAAGTTTGTATCGTCACACGGCTTACGAAGAGTTTTTCTTTTTCTGTTTTCCATTCATTCATCATTCATTCATTCATTAAAGATTGATGATTAAACAATTTCGTACACTCCGTATTGTAATGTGACTATGCAATTTCGAGTCAAGCATACCTATTGTTGCTATGCTTACATATTTTAAATTATATAAATGAATTTTTGTAATAGTTTTTGATAATAAAACACTGTTTATGACACTACTGACGTCTCTTCTGTCGTCTAAATATATAATAAACACAATAGAATCTTTAAAAAAAGATCATTACAGATTAAACTACAAAAATAATATTTAAATATTTGATTTAATTTTATAATAATATGTTCCTCATTAAAATAATAATAAACGTGGCTAATATTTGTAAAACCTAATTTAGCATTAATTATTATAATTAAAATTACCGTACAATAAATGTTTTTATATGCTTTCAACGTTTGTTCTCTGCAAATTATTAAAGTATAACATTACAATGGCTTAATAACATTGTCAAACAAAATATATGATAATTATTTTTAATATCTCACTTTTCGATACATTTAAAATCTATGCAGTTTTTGGTATAAATTTATTACACACTTTAAATTGCAATCCAGACATGTATATCAACATATAAACATTAGAATATTATCCTACTAATATTATAATTGCGAAAGTTTGTGAGTGTGTATGTATGTTTGTTACTTCTTAACGCTCAAACGGCTATACCGATTTTGATAAAATTTTGTATACAGGAAGCTGACGTCCAGGAATAACACGTAGGCTACTTTACATCCCGGAAAATGTTTGACCGGATAATCCGCGGGTAACACCGCGGGGCGCAGCTAGTAATCATATAGTTACAGATAAAATTTTAAATATGTATATATCGAGTGACGTTTAAAAACGGAACAGTCGTTATTTCGTAATCGGAACGAAACCTAAAATCGATATGATTAACATTCCCCAGCGGATCAAGTTAAATCAGAGGGTATGTAGATAGGAAGACGGTCGAAACAATCTTGTTTCCGTCAATTACATTAGAAATCTCACTCCGTACATTTACATACGACCGGACTGATGCATGCACTCGCTTTGATTGCAGCGGCCATCTTGTCTTTGAAATAAAGGTGCCATGACGGCCGCTCATTTTAAGATGAGATTGCTCTCCAGGGCATCGTATTGTTTTATTTAGTTAAGTTACTTAAAGATATTACTAAACTATACATTTAGATACTTTATTTATACATATAATGAATATATTATAATGAATATGTTATATTGCTTGTAACGGCAGCTTGTATATTTTACATCACTGAACTGACTTGTAGCTCAACCATATTATACTCTATAACAAAACCGATTTCTCTCATCATTTGCATCCTTCTGTTCATCGCCTAGGATACAATAAACATTTTCATCATCCTACGATAAATTGTTTAAGCGACAATAATCTTAATTTCTTTTATTATAAGGCATAAAACTGATAGTACCATTATAAGTATCTACGTCATTTACTCCGTGAAGCGATATAATAGCCACGTCAAAAGCACTGCTCGAGTGACGCGAATACTTTCCGACTGCTTGGCTTTATTTTATTGCGCATGTTTTAATATTAATTGTAAGTTTTCTGCCCCAATG